ATAATAAATCATATATATATATAAAAAAAGAGGCCTTCAGGTCCAGCACCAGCCTCTGCCAGAAATATACATCACCTACAGCAGCCCTGGAGACAGATCCCATGGCTACAGATCACATCAGCCTTCCCTGGCAATGAGTACATGCAAAGGACTCTGTGCTACTGTTGGTACAGCTCTGCTCACACCCAGCATCCCACACAGATGGGAGGTTATGGGAACATCAGGAGCTGCTGAATAAATAGTGCCCACCCCTCCCTCCCTCCCACCTCCAGTCGTGTCACCAGGATCTCTTTGGGCTAGAAAGGGTTAACACCACAGTTTGTAAAAAGTTTGGAAATAAAAAGGTAACATACAGCCTTAAAATGTCTAAACTGCAAACAAGGGTGGAGTTAACTGAAAAGCACGTGCCCCAGGGTAGTACATGCGTACGAGGGAGAAACTTAACACTTGGGTCTGCTCAGCTTTCCATGGTAGGTGTGTTTCTGTCGTTGGAATATTTGATAAGGAATATTCAGCACTTGGACAATGTCTCTTTCATCTCATCCAACAAGTTGCTAAGCAGGGTGGAATCGTTACACTTCCCATCTATGGATACAGAGTTCTCTCCCTTGGAAAGAAAAAGGAAGAAGAAATCCATTAGCTGCCCTTCTACACAGGGACACTTATCCCCAGTCAAGCTTGGGGACTGATGGGACAATGCTCTCACCTTTTTTACCAGTAGGCAGACATGATGGCCTTGGATAGAACGACTGTACATGGATGCACAGGAATCAACACGTTCCACAACTACAAAGAAAGCAAGAGTTTCATTTAGTGGGACAACTTTTAACGTGAAGGTTTGCTCCTCATGGAGAGGAATGACTGCTTTGCCTGGCCTCAGGGAACAGAAGCTTCTGCTGAGGGAGGGGAGGAGGAAGCCAGGGTTAGGATGATGTATGTGCCTGGCTCCTATCTGGGATATTTCACAATAATGAGGTTAGTCATTTGTCTTCTAAGTAAGCTGCAAATGTTTTGTGGCCAAAACGCTGCTCGGAATGTAGATCTCTTCCCCAGAAATCCTTCCAGTGAGGCAACGTCTAATGCATACCCCAGAGCATGATGAAACAGCCATTTGTTTTGCTTCACCCTGCACTTGGGTTTTAAGTCAGTCCAATCTTGCACAGCTTGAGCTCTCCCTGTGGAAACGAAGTGCTGGGGAAAGAGGGAGGAGGAGCTGGAGCACCCTCCAGAGAACACTCACAGCCCCAGCAACAAGCAAGCTGCTCCCGTGATACCTGCCACGTGCCTTGCTGGGCTGGAGGAAAGCCACAGGGACAGAGGGAGAGTTCATTTTCAATCCCACTGCCTGCTCTGAGGATACTAGCCTGTTACAGAACTGGAAAATACTCCTCTCCCAAGTTTATTTAATCTGGACATCCCCCACTTCTGTCATTGTTGAGGCCACGGAGTGTCGCGCTGGCCAAGCACAGCAGAAATAGGGAATTTTGCAGGAGGTTCTGCGTTGAAGACTCACCTGAAAAATGATGATGAAAACAGATCTTTGCCAGTAGATGTTGGAAAGAAATGCTAATTCCGTCTACTTTAATCGAACTCATGTGCAGATCTCCAGACTCCAGGAGCTTGGCAAAAGCATCGCTGCAAAACAGGAAGGAAAGTAAACACCTGAGCTAGAGATTCATGTGAAATCTGCCCCATGCAGACCCTGAGGTGCCTCAGCATGCAGAAGTCTAAGTACTCCCAAGTTCTAGGAAAATGGGTTTACAGCAAATATGGAAACCACTCTTCAGTCTCTACTGGAGTAGCCGATGACCTCAACCAGAGCTACTTCCAGATGACCTCTGCCAGCCTAACAGCCCACACAGCCCACACAGCTCCTCCTTCAGAGACACGAAACGAGTGGCTGGACACACTTTTACAGCTGAGCAGTGCAGGAGATAACTGAGCTACAACCAAAGCAATCACCAGCAGCCAGAGTTGGGAGCATGCTGCATGGCTGGTAGACACGGCCTGCAGCCAAAGCTCAGCCTCAGGTGGGTGGCCAAACCCCAGGGTCGTGGTCCCTGCCTGGCACTTACCTGTAGCAAGGCGTCGTGATCAAGTATGAAGCACAACTGAAGTGCAATTTGAAATCTAGTTTTTCATGGGTTGAACCTTCATCATTCTGCAACAGGTCAAAGGAAAGGAGATGAATGGGAGCCCCGAGGCAGCAAGAGGAGGCACCACCCCCACCTACCAAGCAAGCACCAGTGAAGACTTTAGGGCTCAATTCCCTTTGATACACCCTGGCTGGGCCTGATAGATCAGTCTGAGGACAACCACCACACTACAACAGGCCACTTGGAGAAGAGATTTGGGCAGCTAGGTTGATATGTACACCCAGAGCAGATAAGGAACACAACAGGAGGGACCAGGCTGCATTTCTGAGCAGACTCAATTTAAGCTGAGACTTGAAGATGTGGTTTTACAGTTCACTAATTCCCAAGCAAAATAATAAATTAGTATCTCCCAGATTCTTAGGTACTGAAAACAGGACTCACACTATTTTTAAAGTAATACTTAAACAGAAAGAATGGCTGACTCAGAAGTAGCCTCAGCTGTCTCTATTCACTTCCTTCAAGTGGTTCATGCAGCTCCTTCATTAATAATTTTACTGCAGTAAGATTAGAAACCCACAGTCTTATACAGGTTGATATGAAACAATGCCTTGAGCCAACTCCACTCTTGCCCTGGGTTTCCAGCCTCATGAACCATATCTATTTGTTCTTATTATTTTGTCAGCCTCGTACCAAGCAGCAGCATCCAACTCCTCTCTGCATAACTGAGATCAGAACACACAGGCTCTGGGCTCCACCTCTTGCTGCTTGCTCGAGCTCCTCTCCCTGGCAGATGCCCCCCTGCAGTGGTTCTCCAGCTGACAGTGTGGCATGTTTGAGGCTGCATTGCTCACACACTGCCAGGAGTGCTAATTTAGGACATGCTTACACAGGAGTCAGGAACCTCTTTGCACAAGATGTCATGTAAAAATACTTCTTGCATCACAGAATGGGCTGGTGCAGCAGAGATGAAATGATGCCTAAAAAACCCAAGCTCCAAAGCAGTGCTTTCCACCCCAGACAAGCTGCCTGACACAGTTCCAAAGGAAGCAGAAGCACAGAGTTTAGAGCTGCACTTACTTTGACTATAAAGGACAGTGTTCCTTTTAACTTCTGAGCCATAACAATACTCTGAAGTGTAAACACAAACTGGGCTTCGTTAGAGATTCCTAGCATGAAGAGAGGAGAGGGAGAAGTCAGGTCAGAAAATGGTTTCCATATCAAAGCAGTGGTTAAATTAAGCTGATTAGCAGCAGCTAACCTGTATCCACTGACTATTTTTGAACCAAGTTTGAAGTGTCCTGTGTAGCTGGAAGGGAGCTATACACACAATTCCTGTTGTGAAGGAACAGTGTTGCCACACTTGGCTCCTGGGTGCTGAGGAGCAGCAGTGAGAGCTGGCACTGGGTGGAGGTTATCAAGAGGGTGTCTGGGCAAAGTATGGCACAGTGGCAATATATTGAAACCCTTTGTATAACTGGAAAAAAGATACAGCTTTCCAAGTAGCTTTTCAGGACTAGCTTGAATTCTAATGTTTCTAGGTGCTTCTTTTAACATACAAGTTTGTGTCAAAACCTGCCTTATATAGAATAAAACAACCCTACCCTACTGCTTTTCACAGGGGATCAAAAGGCACCTGAAGCCACTAAATCCCAGAAGACTTCTGTGAGCTGTGTCAGTATTCAAATGAACTCTTTGGTGAAGTGAAATTCCAAGAAGTTCAGTGACTTGACTGGACTGGTGCACTGTGCAGGAAGCCAGTTCCCTGCATCTCCATGTCTCATCTTTCTCAGCTCAGCTCCCCATCCTTATCACAAACTTTCACTGCACATGGCCTCTGCTGTTCAAACAGCAGAACAATAGCTCAAGAATAAATCCAGAGTGCATTTGAACAGTTCACAAACCTAGAACTTTGTTCCATTTTAAATCTCATCAACTCCTCTTGAATTTTGGATTCCTGTAGCAGGCAACACTGGCACGTTCAAAGCTGTGCCAGCCTGTAGCCACCTAAAAAGGACCTCAGGCATTCAGACTCCCAGCCCTACGTTATAGGCTTTGCTCCTGCTCTACAGAACCACCTGTGTTTACAGCCATCCTGTAAGAAGGTTTTATCCTCTCCAGGGACTTGGGTGAAAGCCCACAGAACACCCAAGCAGAAGGACATGTCTGTCTGGAAAACAGCAAATGGTGAGAAGTTCAAACCCTTCTTTCCACAGGAGGGCAGTGCAGGACTAGACATGCTCCAAGAACCCTGTGCAAAGCTGTGCATACCAGGGGGTAGCTGGAAGGGCACAGGTATCCCATCGTGGACTGAGGATCCTTCTGGTCGGAGCATTTTAGTGTTGAGAGAGTCCAGGACATTTAGTTCCATGCTCTTAAGGAAGCAAGTGCTTTTGTTCTCAAAGATAACAGAGACAGTAACTTGACTATCATTCTGGAGGTTTCCTTGAATATCGTAGGTCTGCAAATGAAGGGAAAAAAAATCATAGGAAAGCTTCAGAAACTTCAAACAGCAAAGCAGAACACAGCATCAGAATAAGGCAAGCTTCAAAGAGGAGGTAATTTGGTACAGCCATAGGATAATGAAAAGCACATTGGTGATCAGCTCCACTGTGCTGCTAAGGAGTGGGAAAACAGCAGCTTAAAAACCTGTTCAGTGAGATACCCAAAGGAATGGAAATAGAGCGTTGGTATACCTCCACCTCCTGGGATTTAAAGAGTTCCTCAGTCAAATGCTGCCCACACAAACTCCCTGTGCTATCCCCAGGGTATGCCCTCTTCTCTTAACAACACAAAAAGAGAAGACATCTGGATGTGAACACCAAAAAACTCACCATTTTAATGTATGGATTTTCAGCAAGAAGGCGGTAACTGGACATAGGCTGAAAAACAAGACAGACATCACAGATGCAGACAAGGAGTTTCTCTGGGCAGAGCCCTGGTTCTGCCTCCCCTCACAGCAGGCAGGGGCTGCCAGTGCTCAGCTACTCACTGGTAGTGGTTCATCATCTAGTGTTCCATTCTGCACCGACTCTGTGGTCTCCTCCTCGCTGTGATGACTCTTCTTTTTGGACTTCTTTTTATCCTTTGATTTCTCTTCTTTCTCTTTCTTGTGCTTTTTCTTCTTATGCTTGGAGGATTTCTAGCAAAAAGAACAAGAAACTACAACACACCCTTAAAGAAACCCTGTATTTCCAGCCACTGCACTGTGATCTTTCAGCTCCAGACTCTCACCCTGAGCAGCCTTCTGGACTGAACAAAGTTTCCTACGACTGCAGAAACCCAAAACAGAGCTCCCATTCCTTAAACTCCAATGGTCATTCTGTGGTGAGTCCCAGTAAACCCTGCTCCCCTTCCCCAAAGCAGCCTGGGAGCAGCAGGAGGCCAAATCTCCTCAGTTGCTTGGAAGTTCAGCTTCAAATGGCTACCTTGGCTCAAGGAACAACCAACCCTCTTCCTGTGAAGTGTTCAGAGCTCCTCAAGGGTGTAAGGTTCCACTGTCACCTATCTGCAGGTGGTTGCTACACTGACCAGGATGCTGTTGGCAATTCCCTGTCTGCTTCTTTTTAAAGAACACAAGACACTAGGACAATATGGCTAAAGGTGTCATCAACCATTGAGGGTTGACCCAACTTACCTTGCCTTCATCTTCCTCCTCCTCATCTTGCTCTTCCCTTTCTTCCTTTTTCACCTCTTGAGGTTCAGCCACAACAGCAGCACCTGCTTCAGGCTCCCTCTGAGTGGATGAGCAGAAGGATTATGACACTAAAGAATCCTTCACCAAAACAAAACTTAACAGGAACACTCCCCCCCCATTTTAAAAATGACATTACACTGACATGGTACCAAGCCTTGCGTTTTATGCCTCTGAAACCCAGCAAATATGATCATCTGAGGACAAGATACAAAAGACTTCCTGCAAGGAATCTATCCCCTTATATTCCATGTCTCTGCCTTTAAAATCTCCCATCAAAATTCATGAGATTTTTTCTTTCAGACTGTGTCTTTCTCATGTCTATTAATACTGCTGGTGTCTAGCAGCTCACACTAGGAAAGAAAACCACGCAATAATATATTAAAAAACAACCAAAGGTATTAAAATCCACCAAGCCTGTAGCTGCTTCTATATTTCTATCCACTGATCTGCACAGCAGAATCAGCTTGGAACCTCCCATTACAGTGTCTGAAAATTGGGGAGATAAAATGTCATTGCTTCCCAGCAATAAGCTGAGGAGACAAAGTGTCTCCTCTTCCCTCCTCTCCTGCAGCATGACAAAGCACTCGGATCACAGCTCAGATGCAAGCTTAAGAGAAAGTTTCCTGGGGTGTGTAACATGTCTACCTGTGGCTGGGTAGTGGAAGCAGGAGGTGGAGCAGTGGAGAGCCAGAAATCTAAGTCTTCCCCCTGAATTTGAAGGGAAAACAAAAACATTACAGTTTTGATACCATTCTTTAAAAAAATAAAATCAGCAATTCAATTAAAACCTGAAGTTCTTATGGAAATGCATTGCTCCAGAAAGCTCACATAGGTGCTGCAAAACATTTAGGAACAGAGTGCAACAAGCTTCACTTCAGCCTCTGAGCACACTTCCAAATGTGGATATAGCTGATGGGAACTGCAAACTACCTGTCACAGGATCTACAGGCAGTCAAAGCATGTTGGCTGCATCTTAGAGGAAAAGTGCATCTCTGCAGTGGTTAACAAGAAGGATGCTTTGAGTCTTCAGAATAACTCTTCAAAGTAATCTAATGTCAGGTTTTAGAACTCTAAGATTCTGAAGTATATGAAGGATAGGGTGTAGGACAACACTGAGTTCCAGGTATTTTGCTAAAACGTTCCCCATTTTAAGAACACACAAATATCAGTGAACTCAGCTTCCAAATTAGATCTGGAAGACCTGTGGTGTAGGTTGCAGTGAACTGACTTCTGCTAACTTCTCAGGCTAAGTAAATGTTACTTTTATCAACAGAAATCTTTAAAATACCTGCTTTTATGGTTGTAAAAATTTAAGGAAATAAAGCTGTTTAAACTATCAAATGTGACTGTTCCTAAGCAACAAACAAAACACAGCAATAAATACAGCCTGTAACAGCAGCTTCCAAAAGAAAGCAAGTCTTAGAGAATTACCTTTTTAGCTTCTTCCTCCTCTACCACCTTTTTCTCTTTCTCTTTCTTCTTTCCTTTGTCTCTCTCTTTTTCTTTGTGTTTCTTTTCCTTCTTTTTGGGTTTCTTGATCTTCTTCTCTACTAGGGGAGCTTCTGAGTCTGGTGACTTCAGGGTCTCAACATTTCTGTGTCTCTGCACAGGCAGCTTCTCACTGTCTGCTAAGGGTCTTAAAAAGAAAGAGACCATTATCCTCCTGCCTCCTTAGCTCTGCTTATCAGCTGGATGTCCAAGACAAGGCATGCTTTGTTCTTAAAGAGTTGGGCCCCCAAACCTTAAATCAGCACATACTTCTGTACCTGAGGTTTATTTATGTAACCTCAGACACTGCCCTCGTGGATTAGAAGTCAACAGAACCAAGCTCTTGCTGACACCTGATCACCTTTAGAAGTGATAAATACACACTGCAGACTGATTAACACGTAGAGTTATGCTGCATTTCTGTGGAACCACCCTCAGAGGAGGAGCAAAGATGTGAAACAGGAGGAAGCATTTGTAACAGAGTGGGATTCAAGGGGTGGAATGGCTCCAACAGCCCTGGAAGGGTGTGGGGTTTGTTACTGATGAGTAGATCACTCCAACTGGAGATGATTTTAAGCAGTACATTGTTTCATTTTGGAACTTTACATGAGGAATCTGTAGCCTACCATTACATTTAAAAAGTTGTGTTTAATCTCAGATACCCATTTCCAAAACACACGTGCAGCAGTTCAGATTTACACTGTATCCAAAATCCATTACTTTGGAAAAAAAAAAAACCACCACACCACAGAAATTTCTTCAGTGTTGTAAAACACTGCCCAGAAATCAGTAAGAAGTTCACCAATTGCCTCTCTTTCTTTTTCTACACCTTTTCCTAAATTTTCATGTTTAAGCACCAAACATCAGCTCAGGAAGATTTCTACTGGTCTCACCTGCCTTAATTTTTTTGCTTTTATTGCATGAAGAACCAGACCCAACTAAAACAGACACTGTAAGGGCAAGGTGGAGCCCATGGGTATGAAGAATGATCAGATCTCATCTTTAAGCTATTTCAGAGATCTAGTACAGGAACAGGGATTGGGGCTGCAAGTCAATGATGAAACAGTCCCACTCAAATCTGAGGGTCAATGATTTCAGTAGTTTCACCACCCTTCAAGTATTTATGCTGTCCACTGAAACCAACCAACCTGACAGAGATCAAGCACTTAGCAAGGTGTTCTTACCTGGAAGGCTTCCCTGAAACCAGACTGCGTGTGAGCGTGACACAGACAGAGCAGTGCAAGCACAGAAAGAAAGAGAGAGGACAGAGACATGAGCAAACGTGACAGGGCACAGGGACTTGTATGAAATGGGAAGAGGATGGATGGGAACAATACACCAGTCCAAAGCTGCCTCCTGCAGCACAGCAGCCACAAACTGCTCTGCTCAGGGTTTTCTATGCCTGTCATGCAAATACCAGGTCTCCAGTCAGAAATTAATTTCCTTTTATACATTTGTCCCCTGCAGACTCAGAGGAATGTGACCAGCTCATGAAAAAAGAAAGTTTTTCAGAAACTGCTCTTTCATTTTTTAAAAAGGCTACATCATTTTTTTAGCAAGGTACTGAGGGGCCAAAACCCTACAGATCTGAAAGTGTCTGTAGAGCCCTACAGATCTAAGAACTGCAGAGAATGATGCAGACTTTAAAGTTAAATATCAGAGAGAAAGAGGGGGAGAGGGAGAGAGAGATACTGCACATAAGCACTCGTGCCTGAACAGTCTTCAGAACTATCCTGGAAGCATTCATGGATCATGCATCAGGAATTGTTTTTTTGTAAAACAGCAACTGAAAAACCTCTCCATGTGCAATGATTTTGGACCCCACTGCTGGTTACCACGTGGCACACAGGGATCAGGGGCTGCACAACAGCCTGTACTAGCACAGCCACTGCTGTCAGCAGCTCCAGCAGCTGAAGGGGGACCAGACTCTGGTCAAAGGTATGGTAAACACTTCTCTCAATCATACTGGAACCTTTTTCAAGAGCAGAACCACACTAAATGTCCACAGGGCAATGGGGATGCTCTGAACTGGCTGTTACTGGTCAATCACAACGCAGGGCATACAGGCTTGCCATGTGTATGGTGGTTCTGAGATGAACACAGATGAATGCAGGTCACAGAGTGACAACACAGGTTAGAGCAGAGAGATCCTGGTAGACCCAAAAGCTTGGTCTAACTTTCACATCTGGTCCCAGCCACACTTTCAGACTCCAATCAGTCACACAAAACAAGGCCCTTGTCCCTCCCCACGCTCTCCTTACTTCAGCAGCTTCACTGCAGGGGGAACCTAAGCCTGGATGATCATCTAGGGTTACATCCAAGGTACAGTGAGAGACTTAAGTCTTTTCACCCAGTGGACTGTAGATAGGGCTTTTGCCTGTTTAGCCCCAGACTTGCCCTCACACACCCCAACAGCAATTAAGTAAATTCAGATACAAAACTGTCACTCACTTATCCAGATCTATATCAAGTGCCTTATATGGATCATTGGGATCTTTGTCATCTTCATCACTGGGCAAAGCATTCTGCAAGAGAGATAGAGACCATTCACTGAAGAAGCAAAGCACAGGCAATCCAAAACTCAAGCTTTACATTGCCCAAAGCAGTTGTGAGGCCTGTTAACCCTGGAACAGGCCAGCCTGCAGTCAGGCACAGTCACTTCTACAAACAATTCACTTTAATGCAGCATCTACTTACAAGATTAATTTAGAACAGAAAACCATTCTTCATAAATGGCAGGATTTGAATTACTGCTGTTAGGTTTTGATTAAAGGAAATTTTAGGAACAAATACAGATGACATCATTAGCATGCACAATTAATTATCATCAGCTGCAAACCTGCTGACTAGACAGAGTTAACGTCAAAGTGAAGCAGCAGAGCATAATAAATGAAGTGACTGTTTGGACAGTGTTACTTTTATAGCTGATGCACATTGTCTCTTTGTGCACAGAGACAGAAATTGCCTCTGAAGCTTTTTAAAAAGTAGAAAAAAAACCCCACACAAAGCAAAACCCTCAAACAAAACAATCGCTTCTCCCCTGCAAAGAGCAGCCGAGGAGCCCCTCAGTCAGTCAGCTCTTCAACAGCCTTGCAAGAAATCAGAGCTCTTGAACTGCAATGATACAGACAGGCTGGCAATCCAGGGGGTGAGGGGGAATCTCTCAAGAGCAGCTCAGGCCACCAAGCAAAGCAACTGACCTCTGGCATCTCCTCCGTGATGATGTCGACGTGGTGTGCTGGAGCGATGTCCTCCTCGCTCTCCGTGTGCAGGGAGTTGTGCCTGTGATGTTTTCCTCTCTTCTCTTTTTTCTGTTTTTTCTTTTTCTTGTCTTTCTCCAGTTTCTGTTTGTGTCTCCTCTCTTCTTCCAGTTTCACATACTGGTCAGACATAGGCATTCACAGGCTACAGTCCACACAGACATTGCTCACTGAATGTTAGCAGTGAATGTGGTAGGAGTGATCTTGCTTCCAGGTTCTCAGAATCAGAAGGATCAACACCTCTCTGTGCTTCCACATCACCCCACAGCCCCTCCAGCACCACCTTTACTATCACTCCACCTCTCCAGGAGCTCTCTATCCTGCTCCATGAGTCTTCTCCACATTAACCAGATTACCAAGATCATCTCAACATAGATATTTTAAGTAGAACTGGTAACACTGCTGTACTAATACCAACAACTTTCCACACTTCTGGAAAAAAAAGATTGTTATGTAAGCCTTAAATATTTGCACTTGTCACTTGAAGTGACTTGCAAGGTACTACATTTTATTCACAGCTTTTCAGTGCTACATCAAACCACTCATTAGATACACAACTACCTTCTGATACTGGAGACCAGGTATTGAAATAGAATGTCCACAGGATGTCTCCTGATCACCTTCACCACCCTTTTAGACTCTCCAAGGCTGATCACTGCCTACACAGAATAGTGGTTAGTTTACAGGTCACAAACTTGGCTGCAGAATAGAGTTAACCCTGGAAACCCTTCCAAAGTTGTCTTGAGAGGAACTGCACTCAGACTGCAAAGTATTATTTTCAAACACATGTAAGCTAAGGAGATATGTTTAAGAGACTAATGAAAGGCTGCTCCTTGCCCTTACAAACCTAAGGAGGAATTTCTAAGAATTCCTAAGAATTAAAGGTTAGTTGCACTTACCTGGAACTTTTAAGGGGACAGAAAGGTCGATCTGGACCACAGGTATATGTTCCACACCTGGAGTGTCTTGGTATCGCTGGAAAAAAATGAACATCTGTTACATTTGGAGCATTGACAGATATAAATCCATCTATATATACATATTTCAAAACATTAAACAGCTTAATCCTTGAAGTGAAATTTTAAAGGGTAGGAATAGAAGAGCTCAGTACTAAATCCTGTGTGGCAGCAGAGCAGATTTTAAAGCCAGCTGATAACTACTATAAAAGATCCTACTTTTAGCTAGTTTTTTAATCCTGCTGCTGCCCTGAAGAAGGCTGCTTGCAGCTCTCTGAAGAACTTTTGGTTTGCTAGTAACTTGCCACTTCAAAAGATAAATTTTGACATTTGAGTTAAGGAAAATGAGACAGTCCTTAGGATACACAGGGAATAAAGCAAGTTCTTTCCCCAGAACAGGTAAGAAGAGACCACAATGACCTCTTGATCCATAAAACAGAAGGCTCTTAATGTAAGAGCCTGGTGATCTGAACCCTCCCATCACCCAGAGCTCAGACAAACTACCTGCACAGGAATGTGTGACAAGGGCACAGAGAAGTGTTTCTCTACAGCTTTTAGAGAGTTCTTGCCAGAATACAAACACTGCTTTCCAAAACAAGTTAACCCAGACTGTTCCAAATTGCTGTGTAATGGGAGTTGTGACAATTACTGCTTCCTTCTTTCTAACCTGGAGGCCCACCAGAGTTTCACAGAACACTGGCTGCTCTTGTGCTATTAGGTCAGTTCTGAGTTTCTCAACATAAACAAGACTTAAAAAATCAGTAGGTGGTGTCCACTCCAGTCAGCACACTATGAAGTGATCAGAACTACCACAAAAATGGTCAGGAATGTCTCAGAAGGAAGCTGCAGCTCTGACACTTTCATGCAGTCACGTGAGAGGCCATCAAGATATTTTAATTCACTCACCTTCTGTGGGGAAGGAGAGCTTTTAATATAAAATGGGTTGTTTGCCTGTTCCTGTTTCCGGGCTTCTCGACGCTAAAAGCAAAGGAGTATTTGTAGTTAGAATGTTTGTTCAGAAGCAAAGAGAGATAAAAGACATCAGAGTGCAAAATGCAAGTCTCTGAATTTCTGGAACAATACACAACTACCTGCAAAAAGACTACAGGATAACAAGCTTGTGTATGATAAACCAGCTCTGAGTTACAAGACATTATATAGCTACAAGTCCTGTTACTACTATAACTAATATTCCCTAGACACCCTTTCTTTGCTTTTGAATTGTAGCCTTGAGATAGTAAATTCCCAAAAAACAAGTTTTGATGGCAATTCAAATGTTTCTACTTTAATTTTTGCAAAGCAAGGGAGAAGTGAAAATTCTGATCAATAAGAAGTCTTCTCTACGAAAACAGAAAGGTCAGAAGCAGGAAAGGTGGCACTGCTACTGAGAACAGTCATGTTACAGTAACCCATGGAAGCTGCTCAAGTCCATGAGCAAAGATGCTGCTGCAGAGCACAGAGGGACAGCAGTAAACCAGTGGAGATGTGTTAAAAACCAAACAGTTGCAGAGCCCAGCACAAGGACCATCCTCAAGACCCTGCACTGCACACCACAGTTTACAGGTCAGATTTTTACAAGATCTCCAGCTCCTAACAATGGACAAGTTTTTGTAACATCTTGTTTCCATTTTATTAGGATAGGCACACTGGACTTCCAAGAGAATTTTGTATCAGGTGTATCCCACAGTGCCTAAACATCATAGCTGCATTCAAACACATATATTTTGTTCACATCAAATCATCAGATTTCCTGAGCTGCAGAGAGCAGAATGGCTCCCTGGCTACATGGAGAATCCACAGCAGCTCCAACTGCTTCAGCAGCACTTAAAGCATTACTGCTGAATTATGCAGGGAAAAGCATTTTAGTGTTCACTCACTCTGGCCAGTTCCTCTTCATCTATTTCTGGCTGCCTGTGTCTGGAATGCCTTTGTTCCTCATCATGAAAAATTGTTTTGGGTTTTTCATCTTCAGACTCACTGTCTGATGGAGGTTCATTGATCCAGGCATCAAGGTCCAAGCTGGTAAGAATTGCAGTAAACAAATAGCTTGACTCAGTACCCTGGAGTATTTCAGTATTCATCACACTTAGCTTTACTATTTTAGAGCTTTAAAGGTAAATAAGGCTTTGGGAGAGAAAAGGAACCTTACCCCTCTGGAACTGGTACTTTTTTCTGTGCTTTAGGAGCCACAGGGTTCAGCTCACCAGCAAACAGAGCTATTACTTCTTCAGCTACAGGTACTTCTTTTATTTGTAGCTTCTGAATATATTTTATTAGTTGCAAGATGCAAGAAGCCTAAAAACAAATACAGAAGTCACTTCAGAGTTAAAATCAACAAACAAAACAAAAACCAAATCAACTGCAATGAAGGTCAGCAAAAGATAACTGCTCTACTCCATTAAGGGAATGAAGCAGCATAAACTGCAGGTTTAGAGCAAATATAAAGAGCCACATTAACCCTCTTCTCCAGGCTGCTTTGGTTTTGTGTCCTTATATGCTGGCCTAATTTTCAAGTTAAATTGTTTTGAGGGAAATTCTTGCAAGCAGTCTTCAGAGGTGCTATCAGCCTGGAGTAAGATCTGGGCTCTGCCATGAAATGCCACAACTCTTCCCACTCTAGTTTTAGACCTTCTCTTTCACTGAGTTCCACAGAGAACAGAATAAATGCACCATAAATGACATATATGCTCCTGTACAAAAGACTTACTATGACAAACTTCAAAGTAATTTTGTTTCTCTTACCCTTTCCTGAACTTCCAGATCTGCACTCTGCACAAACTGAGGCAAACGCTCAATCATCAGCTGTGTGATCTCCTGAGCTGCTTCCTTCTCCCCTGACTGCTCTTTCTGCTGCAGGATGGATGCATAGAGCTTCACCATGTTCTGGACATAAACTGCCTGGATGTGGCCTGGCAGAGTCGTCACTTTAGGCCTCAACATTGCTTCTAAAGTTTGGTTTGCTTCTTCGAGGTGTCTGTAAAGAGAGCATGGGCAGATGTAAGAGAGAAATGGTGAAGTGTCAACATTTCATCAGCACTCATCAAGTTTTTTTGAAAACTGTGGCTGCAGCACAAAGCACTACAGAAAAACAGGACAGAATGAAAAGAGTCATTTGCTGTCTGTCTTCTCCCCTTCCAAATTACAGCAGTAACATGGCACAGTGTCATTTACAGCTTTATTATCCTTTTACAGAAGGGGAGGAACACCACAGTTCCCACCTTCCCAAGCTCAGTACTGTCTCCATTAACTGAACACTGCACTTTCAAGTGCCAGCTCCACTGACAGTCTGGGTCTAGCAGCTCAGCTACCTTCCTGTCATTCTGCACTTCACCACTTGCATCAATGACATTGTATTTCCAGTCATTTACTGAATAAAAATAAAATCTAGTAAGACAATGCTCAATACACAGAAGAGATCATAGTATTTTAATAAATCTCACACTCTTATTCAATTATTCAGTAAGTGACTGGAAATTAAATCTAGTAAGACAATGCTCAATACATAGAAAAGATCACAACATTTTTTTAATAAATCTCACACTCTTATTCAAAATTATCTGCTCACAACTAAACAGAAGATGCACAAAAACTACAGGTCCACTACATGTGGAAAATTAAAGTTCTTTTAAAGTGAAAACGTTCTTTTAAACTGAAAAAGGGCAGAATGTTCTCATGCTTAATCTACAGTTTTCTTTGCAGAACTTTTCTGATTAAAGATCTGCACCATATCAGTGTTCCCAAAAAATATCACACCTACAGTAGGACTTTAAAGTACAGGTCCATTACATGTAGAAAGTTAAAGTTCTTTGAAAGTGAAAAGGTGAGCAAACTGAAAAGGTCAGAATGTTCTCATGCTTAATCTACAGTTTTCTTTGCAGAACTTTTCTGATTAAAGATCTGCACCATATCAGTGTTCCCAAAAAATATCACACCTACAGTAGGACTTTAAACTGGACCCAATGTTCAGAGTGGCAATTATGAGCAGACAGCAAACCAGATGATGATAGGAGACTACAATATCAAGGTCTGTCCAGTGTACCCAAAGGAGAGCTCGGTCAGCATGGGTAGCTGCACACACAACCAAGAGATAAAAACAACTCTTTAAGCTAAAAGATGATGCACAAGAACAGTGAGAACTGTGCTACTGTGGGTACACAAGTTTTGAACAAAAAATGACTTCTGGTTCTCAAGAAGATTTAGTCTCTGCAAAAATCTCTCAGCAAGGGCAAAACAGGGAGGAGAGCAAAAACTAATTCAGTTAAACATGGTGACTGGATGTTTCCCCTGTAAGAGGTGTCAGATCTTAATCATTAAGAAGCTCCTTCAACAGCTTAACATCCTACAGCTTACACCCATGACTGTGCCTTCCTGCATGAGTGGGCAGGACTAGAAAGACAAGAAAAATGAGCAAAATATCAAACATTAAGTATCTGCCTTGGTTAGAAACAGCTGAGGTGTCTATGGGGTGAGGGAGTGGGAAAGAAGCAATAATTTTGCTAGCTTTAGGGCATACATTCTGAACTATCCTTCTCTCAAAAATACATTTCAGTGACAGGAATCTTTGGAAAGCTGCTCAATGGGCATCAGGAGATTTGCACTTACTCGGAGAACTCCCCACATATCCAGGCAGCAGCATAGAGCACCTCACAGATGCCGTTTCTCTGGGTGTTGCTGGCTATGAGATGAGCATTGTCCAGAAGCATGGCCATCTGGGAAACTGCAAATTTACGGATAGCTTTCACTCTGATGGCTACATCCAGCATCTGAGCTGCTATGAGGTGCCCGTGCCGCGTGCCTTCCAGCCGCGTCAGCTCCACCAGGATGCTGATGTACCTACAGGAAGTGAAAGGGATGCAATTGTATCAGCAGACAGTCCTGCATCACCACTGCTGATGATCTCAAAAGTGGTGCCATGAAAGCACTGACCATTCGAAGTTCGTGATGTATTGATAGTTGGACTGACTACAAATATCAATGATTTTGGTCAGCAGCTCATCCCGGTACGTCGTCCCTTCTGCTTTATCCACATGAATCATCAGTTTCTTCACTATCTCCATCAAGTTCTTCTTTGATACCTGTTGAAGAGTCATTGAAGGTTTGAACCACAACCAAGCCACTTCCACATTGTCAAGTGCTTCTAATGCCATTAAAGCAGCTGCCAGCTCTTTGATGGACCTGGGTTACGTGTCAACAAGAAACCAGAACCACTTCTCTAAAGCCTTAACTTTGGTCCCAGTCAAAAAAGAAAACTGTTTATTTCTCTTCAATGTTGTTATTAAAGCAGAGCCAACACAAGTGTACAGCTGTGGGAGAGCTGAGAATCAGAACTACTATCAGCAACACAAAGCCAGGAGGAACAAATCTCCTACTTCTGCCAGATTAGCAAATTGAATAGCTTAAAATATTTTTGCTTCTAAACTAACCAAACATGAGACATTAACATCCAATGGAATTCTAGCATTTCAAAACACAGCTCTATTAACTTGCTCTGGAAAGCTGCCTGAATAAAGTGACCAAACTTCAGTGAATATCACCAGTCAGTTGTTTGACTCACTGCTTCTAGTTGTGATCTCTCACTAGACACATGTTAGACTTACTAACACAACAGCAATTCTGCCATCATTCATTACACAGGACTCTTCCTCAGAGGCAGGGTTGAGCAAAATGGCAAACTCTTCCTCCTAGGTTCTCTTTTGACTAAAGACAAACAGAATTCAACCTACAGGAACTAAGAAAACACCAGGTCTCTTTGCAACAACCCTAAAACCACTCTCCTGATCATAGGCTACTGAAGTTACTGCAATTTAGTGAGTACCACCAGAGAAAAGGTGTCTCTGACTTTCACTTCCTCCTCTAAAATAAGCAGCTGTGGGAAAGGTGACCCATGAGCCCTTTGTATATGGAGGAGGGGGTGGCACAGACTCTTGAGTGAAAGGCTCTTTCCTACTGAAGTCCCTTTCAGAGATCCAGCGTTGCCACGACGAGATGGCCCCTGCTGCACATCTGTATAAACCACCCCAGGCAGCCACACAACACAGGCACCAGGCTGCTGGCACAGAGGAGACCCAACAGGAGGAGGTTCTGGACAAAAAGTCTAACAGGATTTACAACTATGGGCACATCTGATGATAAAGCAGCTTAAAGTCACCTCCTCCTGCCTCCCAGGCTGGATAACTTACATTGACCTGAGCCAGTGTGCTGCAACATGGACTGTGACATGAACAGCATGGACCCACCCCCAGAGCTGCTGCACTAGAGGAGCAGCCTTTGGGGTGACTTCCACAGCACCTCAGCTCAAACTCCTTCCAGTCTGAATCAAAGTTCTAAAGCCCTCTCATGCTGTACCAGGCATTTTAAGTGTTGGAAAAGATACAGGAGTTGTTACCACAAGACCACTGGGAGAGGGGATGGAGAGTTATATGTTTTTTTTTTTTAAACATCAGCCTCCTAAAGGATGATGAGGGAAGGAAACACTTGTAGAAACATGCTGTACCAAGCATTTTACTTGTTCTAAGTGTTGGAAAAGATACAGGAGTTGTTACCACAAGACCACTGGGAGAGGGGATGGAGAGTTATATGGTTTTTTTAAACATCAGCCTCCTAAAGGATGATGAGGGAAGGAAACACTTGTAGAAACATACCATGCCATAGAGGAGATCTAAAGCTCTGAGTCGGATAGACTCATCTTTGTCATCCAAACATTGGAGAATGAGATCCTTGTGAGACTGAACTGACTTAGGATGCGTTTTCAGGATTTTGGACATAGCTAACAGTCCCAGGTATTTCACTGTGAAAGACAAAATAAAACTTCTTTCCAAATATAGAAACACTCTTTGTGCTGAGCATGAGATCTTAATACCAAGTGCTTCTATGGAAATCAACTTTAATACACTTTTAAAAATTACTATGATGAGGAAAAGCATTTCTGAGAAACAGTGCAACACAGATCATGGTCTTTAATTTCATAACCCCATATACAGGCACATAATTACATATATAATCTTCATCCCAGTCTTCTGGCACCTCAAGTTTACTCAGCAATTCAAAAATAATATATTTAACATACAGAAATATATGAGTATTGAGAATAGGCACCCTAGGACAAATACAGCTTTAAAAGCACTTAAAATTAGTGTATTAAATAGGAGCCCTGTTCTCAACAGGAAAAATACAGATGGGGAAAAAAGGTTTGTACAAAAAGGGACTTCACAGAGTTCTTCGTAGCTACTAAAATAAGTAAGAATTCCTGCATTTGACTATTATAATATCCCTCACTCCTTTCCAAGCAGCAAGTTTATTAAAAGGGAAAACCCAGAGCATGACGAGAAAACTGGTTTGGATTAACAAGACCACAAACAGAAGTAATAATTAGTATCATTCATTTTAAAAAAGCTCATAATAAATAAGCACTCACTATCAAAAATTATTCCCACAACAAAAATGCCACAAATTGTTCATTGTAGCACCAGGCACTAACATACTGAACAAGCTGTCTGGAGAAGCAGCTCCTTGCTCTAAGTCTGCTACAATCACTACCCAATGATTGCCAGAAGCTTCCATGAAGACAAGCAACATACTTACAGTTCTGGTCAGAATCTTCTATCAATATCCTCAACTTCTGAACACAAAGCTGGAAAAAAGTACATGTCATGCTTATTGCCAGCCTTAGAAGTCTTAACTAACTCTTCATAAAGTTTACTCCATACACAGAGGCATGCTGACCAAGACACAGGGCCTCTTGGGAAGATTATCTTGTTGTATTAACAGGTTTCAAAACAAAAGGAGCCTCTGTAGGATTGTGCTGATAGCAGCAGCTGAATTGAGTCAGGAAAACTCTAAATGAGGAGAATCTGCATTTTAGAGCAAAGGAAGGAAGAGAATCTGTCTAGGAGATGCTTCAGTCTGTAGGCTTCCACCTGAGTGAGAGCACTTGAGGGAGCTATTGCTTTAACTTTTGGTAGAGGAACACAATCCAGTTTCTCCCTGGGACTTGGTCTTCACGCAGCAGAGCAGAACCACCAGGCCCCAAAGGCCAGTGCTGTACCTGGATGCTGGCGCTGTGGTTCGGCATCCCCGAGGACAGAGAGATCAACACTGCAACACACAACACACACTTCAGTTGGGCTCTGTGTCTGAACACCACACAACACCTAAAGGTCAACAGCGAGCTCAGCTCACAACCAAGACACCGGTTTACTTGGGGAGGGGTGGCAGGAAAGGAACAGGAGCCAGTGTGTGCCCAGCTGGTCCAAAGGCCACTCGCATGGCCAGCAGACCTGGGGAAGTGATTGTCCCCCTGCACTTGGCACTGGGGAGGCCCCACCTCAAATCCTGGGTTCAGTTTTGTGCCCCTCACTCCAAGAGGGACCTTGAGGGGCTGGAGCATGGCCAGAGAAGGGCAACAAAGCTGCTGGGGAAGGGTCTAGAGCCCAAGTGTGGGGAGGAGCAGCTGAGGGAGCTGGGGGTGCTGAGCCTGGAGCAAAGGAGGCTCAGGGGAGACCTTCTGGCTTTCCACAGCTCCCTGACAGGAGGTTGGTCTCTTCTCCCAAGGAACAATTGATAGGACAAGAGGAAATGGCCTCAAGTTGCATCAGGGGAGCTTTAGGTTGGGCATGAAGAACTTCTTCCCCTTGAGGGTTGCCCAGGGCTGTGCCAGGCTGCTCAGGGCAGTGGTGGAGTCCCCATCCCTCTTTTCATTCTATTGCTGCTTGTCTATTCTGTAGTTTTAGCAACATTTAGAAGCTGGCATACAAATAATCACTTGTTGTTAGTGCTTCATCCCAGCCCTCAGCAGATAGGACAGAGCTGTAGTCATGTGGCCTCACTGACTGACAGCAAGGGATTTCAGTTACAGCTACAAATCAAAGTCTGCTGGGAGATTTATTTCAGCTATAAAACACATGAAGTTAAAAAAAGCTTTACAGATGGTGTTAATTGACAACAAAGTTCATCATGGTTTTTTTTTTTTCTAGGTTACAAATTTCAGTTCTCACCTGCTATTACTGTGTTCACACATTCATACAAGAGAGACATGGCTGAGGTGCTGAAACAGAAAGGAAGTATTTTAAATAAGGAATAAAACTGGCACATTTTGAAGAGTTGTCAGCGATATCTTGGAGCTAGTTAACACCTTTAATTACACATGAAACTGCCAGTATTCTGTTCTATCTACCCTCAAACTAGATGACAGGACTCTCACTTAAGAACTGTTAGGGGAAGGAAGGGCTACTGAATGTTTTAAAAAAAAAGAAATCTTCTCAGAGAAGCAGCCAGTAACAGCACTGACGGTGGGGAGGAGGAAGGAAGCAGTTACTCAAAACCTCAGCACCAGTTGCACAGCACTGAAGCAATCTCATTCAAGGATCAAATTAAATCCTCTGCCCAAGGTCAGAATGTCAAGATAAGGCAGTCAGAGAACCCTGAGCCTCTCTCCAAAGAGAACAAACAAGTTGCACACAAAGAGCAGACTCTTCTGACGTGCAGGTTTACCCTGATATGTAACTTGGTTTCATCTGATTTTCCCCAAAACTTAAGACAACTTTTGCCAGTTGGACACATACACAGTGTAATTCTGAGGATTTCAAAGGTATTCACAGATCCTGATCTTCAGGAGAGGGAAACAGGGAACCTCACAAAGGAGCAGGCTCCAGGAGCAAGGTCTGCAAAGGTCCTGAGCAAACAGCTCCGGAGGCAGCAGGCAGAAGTGAGCCTGTGAAGGTCACTCTCAGCACAGCACACAGGGGACTCCAGGATGTTCAGAAGCCAGACAACCATTTTTGGTCCCTGTGCACTTCAGGGTGGATGACAGGGTGGTCTGCCTCACACACAAGTGATACAAGAAACAAAATGATTGAAAGGAGACCAAACCAAACTGGATTAAGCCCTCTAAAGTGAATGACTAAGGTGGGAGTTTGGGAGAGGAGGCAGAGGCAGGACTGAAGATACACTGTCCACCTTCCTGCTTCTTCTGGCAGAGTACTGCTTCTAGTGAATTTGTGACTGCTGCAAAACCCCTTGTTAGGTATTTGGATGCAAAGCTGCTGGCTGGTCTGCTCTGAACCAGCTTTAGAAGGTACAGGAGGAGGATGGACAGAAATGGTTTGGCTAGAGCTGCTCTGATGGCTACATGGATATCTGTTTAAAACCTGCTCATTCCCACCTATCTTCTTGCTGTGCCACACAAGAAGAAACAAACCTCTTCATTTAACAATTCACACATAAGATTACATTTCCTCTTTGTAATAGGGAGGAATACACACGTTCCTTCTGAGACACCTGCCTTCTGATTTGAGTTCAGAATTAGACCCAAAATAACTCTGCAAACCAACTCTGAGGAGGAAATACCTTCAAATGTATCTAATCTATATTTAGGATATATATTAAAGGAACCTCTTCCAAAACACGTCTATGCTGACGAAGGCAGGAGAAGGAATTTGAACACACTCCTTGTCATGCTGCTTTGGTGTGTAAGACACTTCCAAAAAAGACAAAAAACAAATGTGTGTAGGTGAAGAGAAAAGGCAAATAAGCAGCTGAGGCTTTTTTTTAGCCAGATTTTTAATACGTTCTCCTCCACAGTCATCTCTGGCTTAAAATGAAGTGAAAGGAAAATAAATTGCTCCAATTTTCATGCACGCTTTGGAGAAATTCATGCTGACAGTCAGACACCCAAAGACTTTCCTTTAAGGTATTTTATCTCACTTGGGTTTTTCAGAAATAGTCTTGATGTGATTATCTTTTGATAGGTGAAGCAAATATATTGAGGCTCAAGGAAGCGTTCAAAAATGCATCTGCAGACCCAGCTACTGACCTACCCAACAGGGACCTCACTGATCCTGAATGAACAGAGTCACACTTGTCATACATACCTATGGATGAGATTGGTCAGAGGCTCAATCAGTTTCTTTCCCAGCCTAGGTTCTAATGGAGTAAGAGCACCAAACTATTAAAAAAGAAGTACAGACAGGAAAGACATTTAATAGCTGCTTTTAAACAGAATAAAAACATGATTTCAATGGTAGGTCATTATACTTAAACCAAGCTATTTTAAATTATTTTTCTTTCTCTGGTTATGTCCAAACACTAGAAGATATTCCTGTTGTGGTTTTATTCAGATTTAATAGTAACTATACTTCCAAGCAAGAAATGTATTTTGACCCCAAATGTAATTTAAGGAGAACCCCAATCCTGTAAATGCAGAACCAGAATACTTGCCAGTTTTATAATCTTAATGAGAACCCAATTATTGGTTGATGATGTCATCAACTTGAAAAAGAGTGGAGCAAGGGAAAGGTAGTTTTTGGGATTGCGTCGAGCCAGCTCACAAATAACATTTACTGCAGCAGACTGCACACCTGGGAAAAACAAGCAGGAAAAGCAGAAATCTCATCAGCACCTTAATTGCAATTGAAGTTTCTGGTGCAGAACCCCCAGCACGAAAGCAAATGAAGATTCAGACTTCTGTGTCCAAGAGGAATGGCTCAGCCTCATTACCAACCACGAGGCAGTGAACTAAACAGAAAAGTGCCAAAAACTAACTCAGAAAGGATTTTATTTAATCTTGGCTATTTTCTAATCTATCTAAAGGTGGGTATCTGCTTTGGGCCCGGTATTAGGAAGAAGAGAGCACTGCCAGCCTCCCTCTCCCCCCTCCCCCCTTACTGTGGGTTGCTTGTTTGTAGACACAGAAGATATAATAAACAATAACCTTGCCCACCATAAATTTCCACTCTTGCTTCTTTAAAATGGACAATTTAAATTAAGGATTCATTATTTTAAACGTCTGACTTGACAAGCTCATTGCCTTTGAATTGCTCAGCCTCTAAACTGACTGTCCACTTCAGAATCTTTAATCTGGATAGTTCAGGTTTTCTAGCAGAGAGCAGATCTTTTCTCCATAAATCATAACAGGGGTTTTCTTCCTCTGTTTTTGGGGGTAGAAATGTTTTGCTCTCTTTAAAAACCACTGTCCCTGGAAGACACATCTTACATGCCCACACCAAATTAGTCCAGTCACACCGTTGAATTTCTCCCTCTAAACACACACCCAAACCAACTGGAGATCACAGAACTGCATCACACAGAATTCCAGAAACAAGGGGAGGGTGTTTTGGTGCAGCACACTCTGGGAAGACTGACTAGAAGTATGAATATGATGGAGAACTTGCAAATCTCCTGTGCTGCAGCTGAATTGCACTGAGAGCAGTGAAGGGTGCAAACAGCTACTTGGACTCAAAGTTTAAACATAAAAAAAATAGAAAAAAAAAATAGTGATGTGGATTTATTTGAAGTACATCCATTCAAGCCTGAAGTACATCCACTGCAGCTTTGTAAACGAGCCCAGGAAACAACAAAACCCCAAACCCTGAAACCAACTGAAATATTTTCAATAGCCAAGTTGAGCAGCAAACCAGGAAACCTTTGTGCCATGAAGGTTTAATCCACTGATATAGTTTCAATAGCTTTGGTTTGAAGGGAGAATTGAACATTTTAAAGAATGTACTTTTAAAGTGGCAACATCAAAGATGATCACAGTGTTTTTCAGCTATTCTTGTCTCCACAAGCACATACACCTCGATGGTTTGGAGCAGGAGTTCTTTATTCAAATCCACTCACCAGGATCTGGATCTTCAAGTTTCTCTTTAAGGCGAGGGAAGGCGGGACGGAGGGACTCGGGGTATTTCAGAAACACCTTGTACATGATCAGCACTGCCTTCTTCCTGATGTAAGGCTTTGTATGAGACATCTGCCAACAGAACAGCTGCCATCAGGCTCCCAGCAACTCTGCCTTTCCAGAGTTCTTCTCAAGGTTCCTATGTCCACACTACTCTCTCAAAGTATCTTTCTCAACTACTTTTTGAAAACCCGCCTTCGAGGGGAGGGCAAAATACTGTCACTTATCACCAAAATTAACAGAAATAGTCAAGGTGATCTTCCTGAGCTAACTAAAAGCTGTGAAGGCTCCCCCCCAGGAAAACCCACAAGAATAAAGTGTCAGTTTTCACATGTAACAGTCCTAAAAGTAACAGATATTTACCAGTTCTGAACAATTTACCATTTTTTAATTACAGGAAAAAGTTACCTCAATCTTAGCAACTCACCAGTGTCATGATGTCATTTGCCAAGTCCCTGGCAAGATCTGGAGTAACAAAACAGGACAAGCCAGTCAGTGCAACTCCAGTATCATACTGGTTAGGGCTACTGAGATCCTAAAAAAGGAAAAACAGGCTCAAAAATTTAAGATCACAAAGAATGCCAAGAGACAATTTTCTCAGACTAGTTTTATTCACTCCACACATGAAACAGAGCTTCTACTTCTTGGGAATTATTCATATCAACTATTAACAGCAACGTTCTCCAACACCTGCTAAAACACAACCTGAAGTCTACTAAAGAGCATGAGGAATCCAAATTAAACAAAAGATGGATGACTGCAAAGGCAATTAGAGATATTGGACCTCTGTGGTATTTTAGAAATGGCAAGGAATTTTTAAATTCTCACAGTAAGATCACAAATCTTCCAAATCCAAAAAAAAGGTATTAAATACTAACCCTGCCAAGTCAAAGCCCAACTGTCAGCACCTTCACTGGGAACAGGCACTCTTGTTGAGTGCCCAGCAGTGTCCCAGCTTAAACTCTCTCAGGAATGAGATTAGTTTCTTCCTGAGCTGCTGGCAGCACTGTAACTGCCAGTCCATAAAGACAGCACACAAGCCAGGGTGTGGAATACATTTTATTGGTCAAGTGTTTTGGACTTCTTTGTAGGCAGCATCCTACATCTCAGCACTGTCCAGGCCATAGCTGGAGTACTGGGGTCAGGTTTGGGCACCACAGTAGAAAACAGACATTGAGGGGCTGGAGCTCATCCAGAAAAGGGCAACAAAGCTGGTGAGGGGTCTGGGGAACATGATTGTGAGGAGCAGCTGAGGGAATTGGGGATGTTGAGGCTGGAGAATAGGAGGCTCAGGGGAGAACTTACTGCTCTCTACAACTCCCTGAAAAGATAGTTGATGAGAGGAAATGGGCTTAAATTGCACCAGAGAGGTTTTGACTATTAGGAAGAATTTTCTTCCTGGCAGAGTGGTGAGGGGTTGGCTCAGGCTGCCTAGGGAGGTGCTGGAGTCCCCAGCCCTGGAGGGGTTCAAAAACCTGTGGACGTGGCACTTCAGGACATGGCTTACTGGTCATGGTAGTGTTAAGTGGATGGTTGGATTTGATGATCTTAGAGGTCTTTTCCAACCCTACTGATTCTATGTTTCTACAACCTTTCAGACATTTTTAAGCTCTAGACTCTCATCTTCATATGTTCAAGTATGACAAAACCAGACCTGACTGAACACAGAGCACCACAGACCCACTCCTTAACTGCAGTGATTTGGAAACAAACATTTTAAGGGAACTGCCACAACATTCCCACATGAGCCACCTGAATTAACTGTCCAGGTTAATGTGGACACAGTCTTCCTCAGGAGAGCTAAACACAGCCAGGCCTTCAGGGTTCTGGGCCATTTCCATCTCAATTTAAAACCTTTTGCAGGTAAGCAATTAGATTCTACTTTAATAATAATGAGATGTGTTTCTTACAGAGCAACAAAATTTTGCAGTTCCTTCTGGCTTTAATGTATTTTGAGAACTGATAACCCCTTCAAATACAAAGTCACTAGGCAAATGGAACATTAAAAACCATCTTTATTTATGCCTTTAAGAAAAAACTCAGGCACAAAAAGGAAGGAATAAGCTAGTGACTAAAATTCAGTATAATAAAATCTCCATACTAAAGGAAATTAAAGGGACTTTAATAAAAAATATGCAACTCTCAGAGCAGAATCACTTAAAAGATAAAAGGAAAGGCACTAGAGTTTCTTAGGAAAGACACTGGATAACATCCCACTGATCTTTTTTAAGCAAGTTAAATACATTTTAGCTACTTAGATGGTAAAAATGTAGGCACATCTTGTACTGGAGCAGTCAAGTTTTAAAGCAGTGATACTTTCAAAAATTAAACTCAAGAGCTTTAAAAATATATCTGTAATCTGAAGAACAGGAGAAAAATGCTGAACCCAGTAACTCTGAAAAAATTTAAGTGATCTATGAAAATGAATACATCACACTTCAGTACATGAATACAGAAGACAACATTACATATACTCATCACCATGATAGCAAAGAAGTCAAAAGGCTGATCTGTTATTATCAGAAGAAAATGGTCCCTCTCAAACAGAAATTTTGTGGAGCCAGGTGACTGCTCATTTTACTTGAGAAAAGGGGACATTTTTCTTGCCCATTACAGCCTTATAAGGGCTGCCTCAGAGAGCAGCAATATTAACAAAGGTTATCATGGTCACTATGCACTGCAAGGAGTAAACACAGGGAGCTGGCAGGAGACAGCATGAGGGAAGACTGACAGCTCCTAAGAACTGCACTGATCCTTCAGCCTGGGGAATGAGAGGAGGCTGCACACCAAGTAAATGGAATTCTACTTAAACACCTTTATATTCCTAAAAGAGAAATACTGGGAACAGCTTTGGAAATGTAAGTAGGGAGACGGTGGAAGGAAAAAAATTAAGAACTGAAGTGAAAAGTTTACCTTTCGGATCTGATTAGTAGTCAACATAATTACATCAGTCCCCTCATGAAAGCACTGGGAGGCAGCTAGGTAACCAATTCTCTGGGGAAAGGCAAGGGAAAAGAACATTAATTTTTTAATAGAAGTTTAGACAACTGGTAGCTTCATAAGCAATATTAAAAAAATGAACAAGTAGGCAGAGGTTTGCAGAACAGAGGAGGCATGGCAGTGTTCTCTAGAAAAAGGGGTTTATATAAGAAAGGAATAATCTCAGACAAACAACATTTCTAGTGATAAATCTATCTTAAGGACAATAAAATCAGCTTCACCTTCTCTACTTTTTTAGGACATACAGGTTCAGAAACTGTGAGGCTGTAGAAATAAGGTAGGATTGCCAGGAGGGGAAATGGTGAATATTACATTTATTTTGTCTGTTTGGACTCCCAATTTCAGGTACTGAAGACCAATTCAGTAACTATTCTCTATGAAATACCATTCCAGCCTGTCTGGAGAAAAAGGTCTGCACCACAGAGCATGAACAAAACCTTGCAAGAAGAATTATAAAGCTATTACAAAATCTAATATGCCTGCTACTAGGAGTCTTAGGTGGTCTTCACATATGTCTCTTGTGAAAAAAAACCAGGATATCTGACAGCTACAGTCAAACATCTGGTAGGGAAA